ACTTTGAGGTCTCATATACTCAAGCTAAGGCCAGTGTGGTCCACAGTCTCCTTCTGCTGCCTGCGGATCAGGATGTAGAACTCTCAGCTTCTTCTCCAGCACCATGTCTGCCTGCAGGCTGCCATGCTCCCACCGTGATAATGGACTTAACCTCTGAAACTGTAAGCCAGCCCCAATTCAACATTTTCCTTTGTAAGAGTTGTGTTGGTCATGGTGTCTCTTCACAGCAATAAACCCCTAAGACACTTTCTATTCCTGAGTGCTTTGATTACAGTTGTACAACACCTCATCTTGCTAATAATGTGGCTCTGGGGGGTCAAACCAAGGGTTTTGTACTTGCTAGACAAGACAAAAAAACAAAACAGCAACAGAAAAACAACAACAAAACCCCTAAAAAAAATGCCAGTTTTCTTCCCTTGGGAAATGAGAATCTGAGAGAGTCCAGGGGCAGTGGTGTGCTCCTTTAATCCAGAACTAGGGGTGTAGAGGTAGGGACATACAAAGCAGTCCCAAGGCCAGCCTGGGTCACTTAGCAAGACTCTATCATCGGCCAGAACCGAGCCTTCCACCAGAGGGCAGTCTTTAGCTCTGCTGCCTGCCAGTCCTGTTTTCCCACCCCTGCAAATCTCTCTTGCAAACCCAGAAGAAATCCCACTCCTGTATCTTCCACCACCTTATCCTAGACTTAGCAGGAGGAAGTTTTTGGGTTTTGCTTCTTTGTTATTTAGAGACAGGCTTTCCCAGCTACTGGGTATTTTTTTTTTGGGGGGGGGGTGTTTTGTTTTTCACAATGGAAAACTACTCAGCTACTGAAAACAAGGACATCTTGAAACTTGCAAGCAAATGGTGGGAACAAGAAAATATCATCCTGAGTGAGGTAACCTAGACCTAGAAAGACATGCATGGCGTGTACGCACTCGTAAATGGATACCAGCCATAAAGTACAGGAGAACCAGGATACAATCCTCAGAAGAATTAAAGAAGCTAAGTTACAAGGAGGGCCCAAGGGAGGATGCTTGAATCTCACTCAGAAGGGGAAATAAAATAGGCACTGGTGGTGGAGGGAGGGAGGGACCTAGTTAGGAGAGGGGATGGGGAGGGCAGTGAGGGTGGGGTTAGGAGTAGGAAGAACAGGGTAGAGGAGAGGGCCGGGTGAGAGCATGGAAGTTGGAGGTGGGTGTCATCTCTGGGATTTGCCAGAGACCTGGGATAGGGAAGGCTCCAGGAAGTCTAGGGGGTCACCCTAGCTGAGAATCCTAGCAGCGGGGGATTCGGAGCCTGAAGTGGCCACCTCCTGTAGCCAGGCAGGACTTCCAGTGGAGAGAGAAGGACACCAACACACCTACAAAACCTACCCCAAATTTGTCCTACCTGCAAGATGTGCAGGGACAGAGATGGAGCAGAGATTGAGGGAAGGGCCAACCAAGGACTTAAGACCCACCCCATGGGAGAGAACCAACCCTGGACTATTGATGTTACTCTGTGCGTGCAGACAGGAGCCTAGCATAACTCCTCTGAGAGGCTTCACACAGCAGCTGGTGGAAACAGATGCAGAGACCCACAGCCGTCTCTCTGGCCACAGAGTAAGTTTATTTACACACAGAAGGTAGAAGACTGACAACCCTGAAGGACAATCTGTATAAATGCCCAGGTGAAAGGCAGGGTCAAGGGTTAGTGATATACATTGGTGGCAGAGCTCCTGCCTACAGTAAGTAAGGCCCTGGTTTCAGTCTTGAGCAGCAGCAGCAGGAAAAAAAAAGAGGGTGGGTGGATTTAAATATGGAGTAGACGGAGCCAGTGTGGGCTACATAGTGAATCCCAGGCTGTTCTGGGGCGTACAGAAGATCCTGTCTCCAGACAACCAGCACACGCTCAAGGCGGCCTTGCTTTACAGGAAATCTTCACACAGCTCAAAACCCAGAGCAAAGGGCCAGAGAGATGGCGCAGTGCTTAAGGGCACTGGTCGTTCTGACCTAAGACATGATGTGATTCCCAGAACTCAAGTGCAATGGCTCACAGTGGTCTGAAGCTCCAACTCCAAGGGATCCCAAACCTTCTTCTGGCCCCCATGAGCATAGCACACATGTGCTTGTGTGAACTTCCCGCTCTGTCTCTCTCTGTCTCTCTCTCTCACACACACACAGAGAAATGAAAATAAAATAAAGGATTTCTAGCATTGATCTCTCGTGTCTAACTCTCTGTCACCTGACTGAAAAGATCTTTAGCTCCTTGTTAATCTTTACCTCAAAACAGGTGGGCCTGTGCACACTGCCAGCCAATTGATAACTAAAAATGAAACCAAGACCATAACGAAGGAGATGCCCAGATTTCTCTCCATGGACCAGATTCCAAAGCAAAGTCAATACGAACAGGAAGAAAGACAGCAGACATCAGCAAGGAAAATCCAGTGTATGTGGTGTGAAACAGGAGGGCTTTTCTTCACTCTGGCCTTTGAGACCCATGCCACAGGAAATTATACCTCTAAAGGTTAGACCTATCTGTGTCATTTTATATATGGTGTTTGGCACAGATTATGAAAAAAGTTTGTTTTGGGGGTGCTAAGAATGGAACTTGGAACCTTGTACATGCTAGGTAAGTACCACTGGGCCACCTCTCACGGGGGGGGGGAATTCTAGACATGTGCTCTGCCATAGAGCTATACCCTCAGGCTCAAATAAAAGTTTTGGGTTGAAATTTCAGCTTCTCTTTTTAGATCATATGATAAAATGTGCTGCATGGAAATGATTTACCACCTAGCTATGTCCAAGGACACAATGTTTTAATACTTATTCTCCTTTTGTTCCAAAGGACATGGTATTTTAACTCTTAGGCTATTTGCTCTCCCTGTCACGGAGTTGGAGTTAGGAGGCCAGCCCACCTGTAGACAAGGAAACAGTGTGAAGATACTTTGAGATAAACAGGGTCTGTAGAGGAAGTGGAGACAAACCTGCTCCGAGGGCCAGTAACTCAGTGAATGCAAACAGCACATGACAGCTTGTTGTGTTTGTGTAAGAAATGCCCCCCATGGACTCCAGTTGATGCCCAGTTGATGGCACTGTTTGGAGGGGAATATTATGGACCCTTTAGGCAGTGCTGCCTTGCTGGAGGAAGTATGTTACCAGGGATGGGCCTGGAGGTTTCCGGTTTACTCTACTTCCTGATATAATTGCTTAGTTTCCTCCTGCCATGCCTCCTCTGCCATTATAGTTTTTCCCTCTCCCATTTGGACTCTTTTTTCCATGAGTCACAGCAAAAGGAAAGAAACTAATATGCAAATATAATCTACACTATACCAGACTGGTTTTATACCCATAAACCGCAATGACTCAGCCTCCCAAGTTGAAGAGATTATTGGAAATTGCCCTCTCCCAGCAGTGTGAAATATTAAAAATTTAAAGACTGTTTTACTGTCTATGTGTCTGGGTACTTTGCCTTCATGTATGTTATGCGCATAATGGTGCCAGTGGAGTTCAGAAGAGGGCACCGGATTCCCTGGTAGGGTTGTTACAGGTGGTTGTGAGTGGTGATGTGGGCGCTGGGACTCCATTCCAGGTCTGCAGCAAGTGCTCTTGAGCTCTGAGCCGTCTATCCAGCCTTCTTGATTTGTTGTGGTTCCATCAGTGGTTGATGAACCATTAGTCAACCCTGTGTTAGCCAAATGTGGTGACCATTCCATTGGTTCCCACAGGTCAATAGGTGCCTCTTTTGGGGGAGTGGCTTAGGGATGGAGATTATAGGCAACTGAGCCATTTCCTCAGTATGCTCCACATCCTGGTCATGAAGGAATTCAGAGAGGTACCAGTTCCACCGTAACAATTTTCCTTCCATGGCTAAGCCTGTGAAGGACTCTGCCTTTGGACGGATCCAACCCATCATTATAAGGGGCTGATGTCCAAGATGGCATGGAACATTTGGCAATGTACAGTCTAACATTCTAACATGGAATTAAGACATGTGGTTTTAAAAAGAGAACACGTTTTTCATTTTATGCCAGTAAGGCAACTGTGCCTTTGGTCAATTATAATTCAAAAATGTTATCTTTTAAAATTTTTTCATGCATGATCAAATGAAAGGCATTTGTTAGTCTTTTTAAGTTAGTTTGGACTGAATGAGCAAGCCGTTTGATGGATTGCCCTCTCTCCTTCTTCAGGAGGCCTCTCCTGTTCGAATCTACTCTATCAATTTTTATGGTAAACAGCTTTTCTTCCCCTGTGGAAACAAAGGCAAAGCCTCTTTCCCAACGTAATGCATATCCAGGTTTTTGTTTTGAGGTCAACATATTTTTAAAACACATGGACTGATTTGATTCTACTATTTTTTTTTTTTTTTTTACTAACCAATTCTGTGTGCAGCTGCTGCTCCTTGCTCGCTAGCACTGAAGCATTAAAGTTAATAAAGCGCTGTATATCTTCACCGCGCTTTTCTGTCTATGACGTATGTTCTTATATATTTTTAAAAGTGTGATTAGGTCTTTCTGTCGCTGCTTGTCCTGTAGGATTGTGTAGTACACTTGTAATATTCTTTATGCAAAACTGTTTCATGAATTAGAGACACATGCTCCGGCATGGCCAGCCTTAAGTTGTGCCGGTGTCCCAAGGATAGCCGCAACTTCTGAGATGTGTAATTACACAGTCATTCTTTTCAGAACTTGAAACGGTTGCCTAATGAAACCCAGCTGCCAAATTTCATTTCTTTGGTACTTTTTGGGTTACTTCCTTCATGTAATGAAGTTTGGTTATAAAAGAACAAGTAGGACATTCATTGCCTTTTAATTTCCTTGTCTTGTTGCCAAGTAATAGAAATATCTTTCTTCAAACCTTTGCTGTTAACATGGTGTTTCCTATGAAATTCTGAGACTTCTAGCACGTTTCCTATTAATAGCTGATAATGTCATTTTACCTTGTGTTAGAGGGTAGACTGTCTGGGGTCTGATATGTGTTATATACAATGGATGATTTCTATTTCTAATTACTTGTTGTAACTGAATAAATAGCTTAGGGTTAGATTTTTCACCAAACAGACTTTATTTAGGGTTCTTAAGCACCTTCACCTGCCTTCCAACCCCCGACCTTAGGTAGGAGATCTGTAGATGTTTTTTAACCTACTTCCTGCTGATTAGGGTCGATGGGTCTTTAGTGGATTACCAAACTCGGTTGTCAGGATACCAGTGTCCAGTCCAAAGGCCAATACAAGCAGCAACACGAGGTCAGGGAAAGCCACTAGACTCTGTTGGATTTCCGCGAGAAGCTCTCTGGAAAGTTTCTCTCTGTGAAGTCAAGTACAGAAGCACGAAGATCAGCACATGTCCGCGCAAAAATCGATGGAGTGTTTCCTCATGCAAACAGAACATTGCCGTTGCCCTAAGTCCCGGCCAATCAGATGCATTCATTCTCAACCCCCCTTTCCACTGCCCAAGGTTTATGGGTCCCTGTTTCACATGAAGTAAAGCAGCAGGCACCATCTACCTCACGAAGGACTTCCGACACTGGCTGTTCACTGTGAGCTGGGGAAAGCTGGGCCTCACGTCTCCACCAGGAACTCACCGCTGGACCCCAGGACTCGACTTCCGGCCACACAGTTGCCACAGAACCGGCCGTGGTCGCCGCTGTCATCTGTCCCAGCAGGTCGAGCCTCTGCTGCCTCCGTACCCCCTCCTGGAGCCCCGAGCTTCCTCAGCCAGCGGTTCCCAAAGCAGCTGCCGGACTCGTGAGTCAGGCTGGGCCCCTGCTGCCGCCTGGCCTGGTGCTGGCAGCCCAGCTTAAAGGGCACCCGCAACTAGACTGGAGATCGTGTGACACAGACCTCGTTCCAGGCTCGTGAGAGCCCTGGCTTCCTTCTCTTCTGCTCAGAGACCCATAGCTCAGACCTTCTGGTGGAGAAGCACACCTTCTGGTGGCAACCCCAGGCATCCTGGAATGCACACCATGTGAAATGATGGCTTCCCCCAAAATCTCCTCAAACCTAGTATGTCTATAGAATTCCATTTAGCTTCTTCCTAACTTGGGGGTGCCTATCCTCTCTTGGCAGGTCTTGCATAGTAACTGGATGAACTAAGATTGGTTTTCTAACAACCTTGGGCTGCCCTTCGTCAGTAGGTTCTTGCCTAAATTCCTCTGTGTCTGAGTATTTTTCTCATTTTTATTTATAAGTCTCTAATTTTTATTCTAAGGCTTTACCATATCAATCGACTTTTCATATTTTCCTTTTTCCTGTATCTTTAAAGCTTTTTTTTTTTTTTTGAAAGGATACCGAAATCCACTATGGTTATTAAGGATAAAATATAAAATTCTAAAATGATAAAAATCATAATTAGTATTGAGCCAATTTCAATTAAGTCATTTAGCTTTTCATTTTCTGCTTCTATTTTCAAGACATGTAAAGTAGCAGTATATACAGCTGTGCATGGAGGCGCACGCCTGAATCCCAGCACTCGGGAGGCAGAGGCAGGCGGATCTCTGTGAGTTCGAGGCCAGCCTGCTCTACAGATCCAGTCCAGGACAGCCAGGGCTGCACAGAGAAACCCTGTCTCAAAAAAGGAAGGAAGGAAGGAAGGAAGGAAGGAAGGAAGGAAGGAAGGAAGGAAGGAAGGAAGGAAGGAAGGAGGAAAGAAAGACAGACAACAACCATTACTATCCAGGCCCTAACTGCCAGGTCCAGCCCTGGTAAGGGAAGGGCGTGAAGGAGGGTGGATGCCAGAGTGACAAGGGACAAAAGGATGAGAGCTGGAACACCGTTCAGTTTTCTTTCATGGGAGATGGGACAGAGAGGAAGCCCATCTCGGTATGGCTTAACCTGCTCTGACAACTTGTGCCTCTTGCAAGCTTTACTTTTACACAAAATCATTTCCTCAGAAACTTTGATTATCGATTACATAGCTTTAAGTCTTCTTTGGTTGTCTAAGTATATAGGAACGAAAGAACCAAAGCAAGCAAACAGCAAATTTCATAAGAACTAAAAATTAACATTATGATAAAATCAAGTGTTTTTTTTTCATTCAAAGTTTTCTTCCTTATGATTGGTGTTGTAAAGCCTCGAGGTTACAAAAATGCTAGACAGGATGGCTCTATTTGAGTTTGATTCTGTTGCAAGTTCTGTTACAAGCATAGGAATGATAGATTAATAATTATTTCCTTCTACCTGTTACATCAAACTTATATTCCTTCAAAAGTTCAATCTTTCTGACCCTTGGTTGATCCTTTCATTCCTCTATTTTTCCTTTATATTTAAAACAAAACCATCATCTTTTTCGTGGATTAAAAAAAATGTACAGCCTTTTTACTTAACGGCAGTCTGTCCTTTTGTCTTTATAATATCAGAAAAGTCCTGGTCTGACAAGTTTGTTCAGGAAGGCAGGCAGTTCGCTGAGTCAAAATGCTTGTCTCCGTGACTTTGTTATGAATCCTTGTTTCAATACAACTTCTTTCTTTAGAACCATCCTGTAGGGGATAGACTATCAGTGTTTCTAAACTTGTTTACTTTGCCTTCAGGGAGATACTAGCCTGATCAAAATCTCTTCTTGTCCATACTAGCTCCTTGTTTCTGAAGCTGAACATGAAAGCCTAGTCATTCAGTTACAGCTTGTCCGCTTCCAAAATTTCCCAAAGTTTTTCTTCCTTAACAGTTTTTCTCAGATCCTCTACATCAGGGTTACTAATATCATGAATAATCTAACAGTAAATCTAAATAGATTCTATGGAAGACTCAGTTTCCTGCATTGCTGTTTTTCCCAGGGAACCATTGTTAGTCTTACTATTTTTTATAATACCAGCTGTTGTCACATTATTCCAACTCAAGCTTTTGGAGAGAGGCCTTTAACAGGAAGTATCCACCAAGGACAGTGAAGGGTCAGTCCAAGGCACCCAGGCCCTGGAACTTCGTCAAGCGGGGCCCCCAGGACGCTTGATGCTTGACACCTAACACCTTGAATTAAGGTATTTCCTATTCCTAACTCTTTCCTTGAGGACTTTCTGGGTGACTTAACAAATCTGATAGCTTCTCACTTTGTCCACAGCTGTTGTGATTTCAGTCTGTGTGGTCATGCCACGAGTTGAAGAGCCAAATGCTGTTTTTAACAAAATCTCAACTGTTCAGTTTTACCAGTAAAAACTGAGGAGCCAGAGGCTGGGGTGAAAGTCTGCTAGCTCAGAGAGGCAGAGAAAGCACCCAGCCGACCTCCCAAAAGGAAAAGGAAGCACCCTTCCCGATGCCTCTCAGAAGCTTTCACTCTGACTCTTCCCTTTGTTTCCTGTGCTTCCCTCTCTCCGTCGTCCTGACTTCCTCTTACTCTCTCTGTTTTTTTCCTGCGTTCACTCCCTGTCAACTGGTTGCTTGCTCCGACTCTTGCCCTAAGGCTAACTTTGTTTTGTTTCATTTACAATACTCAAACAGAAAGCTCTTGGATTAAAGGTGTGTGCTAGAGCTGAGCCACACCACAACTACAACCAGTTTTTTTCCAGTTTAAAAAAAAAAAAGCACCACAATCTCAGGGTTCATAGTGTGATCAAATATCTTGCAACAATTCCCCCCTTATTTGTCTTTATAAAAAGGAAAGATTTTTAACCCTAACACAATAACAGACCAGAGCAGAGAACTGTGATATGTATAAATTTCTTTACCCTATTTTTATTACATGCATGTTTGGCCTGTATGTGTATGTTTGTCACATGTGTGCTTGGTCCCTATGAAGATCAAAGTGGCCATTAGATTCTCTGGAACAGGAGTTACGGGAGGCTGTAAGCCACTTTATGGTTTACTAGGAATTGAACCTGGGACCTCTGCAGGGGCAGTCAGTGCTCATAACTGCTTGTGTCATCTCTCTAACCCCTCTTGAGACATATAAACTTCTATATCTTGTTAGCATATAGTTTTGTAGGTGAAGAGGCATAAGGAAGGATAAGTAATAAGGAAGTAAGGAATTAATTCTGTGAGCTAGTGCTTTAGCAGGAACATCATTTAGTAAGCTAATAACCCATTCTGCTTCAGGTGCCATTTTGCTTTAAGAATTAAAAACAAAACAAAACAACAACAACAACAAAACAATTTAAAGAGCAGAGCCAATTCCTTAGTCGCTGTTGCCCAGTAAAGATGAATCCTATTGACAAAGCCCAAAGTGTGTTGTAAGCCATTGAGAGTGCACTGTTTGGGAAGTTTTAGTAGGAGAAGATGATGGTAAAGTTGTTGCTGAGTAAATAATATGTCCTAAATAACTATAAAGTGGTTGCTTCATATGAAATCTGGAGCTATGTTTAAATTTGGCTCTTTTAGCTTATTTAAAATGAAAGTTGGGCAGTCATTTCAGTATTGATCAGACAAGCGGGAAGGAGAATACGTCTGAATTATTAGTAACTGACACTCGGGAAATGTAATTAGCGCAGCTTAGGTGCTTTATGTCCTAGTTGGAATTGTTCTGTACTAGAATTTGGGTCTGTTCGTTTTTTTTCCCATGAAGGGACCATTGATCAGTCTATACTGTGTTCTTTTATCTGTGAGAAAAATGAACAACAACAACAAAAATAAATGAGAACTAAGCTCTGGGATGCCTAGCCATGGATCAAGCAGCAGAGAAGACCCCTGCCCAGCCTCCAGCCCTACCTGCCTGTGCTCGCCCTTGGAGCTCAGGAGTCACACTGGAAGGTGATCCAAGTGTGCACTGTCACACTTGGCAGTGAGAAGAGCCACAGAGCGGCTGGAATCTAAGGACTTTTGTGCTCTCAAGAAACACTCCGTTGCGCACACAGTCTGCTGGGTCATTGGAGGGCAAGGGCCTTACCAAATAGAACTGCACTTGTGGATAGAGGTGCCTATGTAATAGAGCCAGCTGGACCTCGGCACCGATAATTACCGTATTCCTCTATTTGACACTATGTACATATGACAGGTACAGTGTTCAAGGAAATTCAAGTCACAGTGAATCAGTTCCTTTATGCTGGAAGGGCTTGGTAAACTTATGAGTCCGTGTGAGCGACCTGGATTTGTTTCTATAACTCAACAAGATTCTAGGCTGCAAGGATCCAGGCTCCATTAATGGGGTGTTCCAAGGGCTACAGGATTCTGGCTGTCGGGTTAGTCTTTCTGGTTTTGGTAAGTACTTTCATTGTCTCTTGTTGGCTCCATTACTGCTTCTCCCTATGTTTGCATTGGTTAATGCTTTAATCTTGGAGAATGACCCAAAGGAAGCTCTCATTCTTCCTCCTCCCACTCCTGAGGGGTATTTGGGAACACCAACTGCAGGGAGAACATTCTAGAAGGAGTGTGAGCAGGAGGGGTCCATCAGGGAGTCTAAAGTCAGAAGTTGTCCAGAAAAGTGCAAAAAGGAACTTGCTGGGAAGGCATGAGCGAATGTCTGCTTGCCCTACACAGCGCAACAGCAGCAAAGAGAACACTTCTACCTATGTCTGCATCGGTGAACAGATGGGTTTGTTGGGATTACTTATAGGAGCACCATTAAGAGGTTGTCTCCAGCCAACCACGTCAACACCCCTTCCCTGAAGCTGCAGAAACTCTCCTGTTAGGAGCGTTCACCTTCTCTGTGCCCCAGCACCTCCAGACACCACATGCATCTGGAGAAGAACTGCAGACAGCTGGACAAGGTTGGCGACGGGGGCAGCTGGACTCCCAGGTGAGGCTCTAATGACCCTCCCGAGTCCTCCCGCACAAGAAAGTCTACAGGCTGGGCCGTGTGGAGGCCCCTGCTGTCGTCACAGCTGCTCTGGGGAAGATGGTGACGGCCGTGCTCCTCACCAGCGCTCAGGTCCTCAGTCCTCTCGCCTTTAGAAGACGTTGTTCTGTCTGCCGCAGAGGAGGAGAAAGAGGTCCTGGCCCGACTTCCACTTTGCATATTATAATATAATATATAAGAAATCCTACAGGACAAACAGTTGCAGCGAGTTCTAACGTCACCTTAAAGGAAATGCTTATAAAACAAAAAGGAAGAATAAGGACCCCTCCTCCACCAGGGACAGACTAAATAAGCTCTGTTAACTTTAACTTTCCTGAACATTAACAAGAAGGGAACAAAAGCAGCTGAAAGACACTGGGTTATAAAAACCTGTGGAATTAAATCAGACT